CAACAAAAATTCAAAGATGAAATCATTTGGTCTTGAATGGGTTAAGACACTGTTTTATAGGTTAAAGCTATGGTGCCACTAAAGCTTATCTAAAAAATTTTTAAATTCAAATTTAAGTATATTTTATAATGTCAATATTATTTCTGATCTAATTTCCCACATCTTTTTCTTTTTACCATGTTATTTTCAATTTCAATAACCATACCTGTTAAAGAAATATGTAATTTTAAGTTCATCAAACGCATAAATCTTTCACTGTTTGCCATAAACCTAAAATGTCACTTAAAGTTTTAAAAATTATTAACTATTACTGTATTAAAACACGCTGTTGTTGTTATGTACTGTGAAGCTGGTTATGACTTATAGCTACCCTACATACAACAGCATGAAACAATGCCGGGTTCTATGCTACCCTCACATACACTGCAGTGTTTGACACCACTGTTGCAACCACTTGAATGGCTTCCTTTTCCCTGACTCTCTACTTTACCAAGTATGATGTCATTCTCCAGGGTCATGGTAACATGTCCAAAGCCAACTTCACTTCTAAGGAGAATTCTGGCTGTACTTCCTCCAAGACAAATTTATTTGTTCTTCTGGTAGTCCATGGTATATTCACTATTCTTCAACAATACCATAATTCAAAGGCATCAATTCTTCTTCAGTCTTTCTCATTCACTGTCCAGCTTTTACATGCATATGAGGCAACTGAAAATACCATGACTTGAGTCAGGCACAACCCTCAAAATGACATCTTTGCATTTTAACACTTTTAAGAGGTCTTTGGCAGAAGATTTGCCCAACATAATCAATTATTTGATTTCTTGACTACTGCTTCCATAGGCCTTAACTGTGGATCCAAGCAAAATGAAACTCCTGACAACTTCAATCTTTTCTCCATTTATCATGATGTTGCTTAGTGGCCCAGTTGTGAGAATTTCTGTTTTCTTTATGTTGAGTTGTAATCCGTAGTGAAGGCTGTAGTTTTTCATCTTCATCAGTAAATGCTTTAAGACCTCTTTGCTTTCAGCAATCAAGGTGGTGTCATCTGCACATCATAGGTTATTATTGAGTCTTCCTCCAATTCTGATGCCAGATTCTTCTACGAATATCTGCTCAGTATATAGACTAAGTAAGTATGGTGAAAGGATACAACCCTGCACACACCTTTCCTGATTTTAACACACCTTTCCTGATTTTAAATTACACAGTATCCTCTTGTTCTGTTCAAACAACTGCCTCTTGGTTTATACATAGGTTCCACATGAGTACAATGAAGTGTGCTGGAATTCCCATTCTTCTCAATGCTATCCATAATTTGTTATGATTTATACAGTCAAGTGACTTTGCATAGTCAATAAAACACAGCAATGTTATCCTTCATTCTACGTTGTCTTCTGAATGCTGCTTCCATTTCTGGCAGTTCCCTGTCTATGTACTGCAGCAATCATTTTTTAATTATCTTCAGCAAAATTTTACTTTGGAGTGGGACAAATATGGATCTCTTCCAGACAGTTGGCTGATGAGCTGTCTTCCAAATTTCTTAGCATAGATAAGTGATCAGGGGCAGCACATTCGTTTGATGAAATATTTCCATTAGTATTCTGTCAAGTCCTGGAGTTTTGTCTTTCGCCCATACCTTCAATGCAGCTTGGACTTATTCCTTCAGTACCACTGGTTCTTCATATGCCACTTCCTGAAATGGCTAATTGTCAACGAATTCTTTTTGGTACAGTGACTCTGTGTATTCCTTCCATTTCCCTTGATACTTCCTGCATCATTCACTATTTGTGCCCATGTTGTTGTTGTTGTTGTTGTTATGTGCCGTCGAGTCGGCCCCGACTCATAGCGACCCCTCCTTGGTTTTCCGAGGCAGTTATCACTACAGAAGTAGGATTGCCCAACCTTCCTTCCGAGGAGTGGCTGCTGGGTTTGAACCGCCAGCCGTCTGGTTAGCAGACAAGTGTCTTAGCCACTATGCTACCATCTTTTAATATTGTAACTCAAGGCTTGATTTTTTTCCTCAGTTCTTTTAGCCTGAGAAATGCCAAGCATGTTCTCCAATTCTGTACATTTCATTATAATACTTTGTCTATTTCGAGCCATCCTTTGAAATCTTCTGTTCAGCTCTCTTCATCACTTATTCATTTGCTTTAGCTACTCTATGTTCAGTAGCAGTCAGACTCTCTTCTGAAATCCATTTTCATCATTTCTGTCTGTCTTTTTAATGACCTTTTGCTTTCTTCAAAAGGAAGCATGGTAGCACAGAGGCTAAACCACTCACCTGCTAACCAAAGGTCAGTTGTTCAAACCCACCAGCTGCTCCATGGGCACTCAACTTCCATAAAGATTTCATCTTTAGAAACCCTATAGGGCAGTTCTACTCTGTCCTATAGGGTTGGTGGGAGTCAGAATCAACTCAATGGCAGTGGATTTTGGGTTTGGCTTTCTTCCATGTATGATTTTCTTAACGCCATCTGATAACCTGTCTGGTCTTCAGTCTTTAGTGTTCAATGAGTCAAATCTATTGTGATGGTCTCTAAATTCAGGTGGGATATACAAAGGCCATACTTGGCTATAGTGGACTTGTTTTAATGTTCTGCACCTTCAATCTGAACTAGCATATGAGCAATTTATAGTCTGTTCTTCTCATTTTGAGTTGTGTCACATCAGAGTTCAGCCGCTGCCCTTGTAGTGACTGATGATACTGAGCTTCTCCACCATCTCTTTCCACAGATTTAATCGATTTAATTCCTATGTATTCCATCTGGTGAGTCCACATTACAGTTGTTGTTTATGTTACTGAAAAAAGGTATTTCCAATGAACAGGTGGTTGGTCTTGCAAAATTCTATCATGCAACCTCCAGCATTGTTTCTATCACCAATGCCACATTACCCAGCTACTGATCTTTCTTCTCTGTTTCCAACTTTCACATTCCAATCACCAGTAATTATCAACACATTTTGACTGCATGTTTGATCAATTTCAGACTGGAGAAGATGGTAAAAATCTTCAATTTCTTCAACTTTGGCATTAGCTTTGGTGTGTAAATTTGAATAATAGTGGTCTTAACTGGTCTTCCTTATAGATGTATGGGTAATACACCATCACTTTGTCTATTTCGAGCCTGTCTATTTCAGCACTGTACTTCAGGAGAGGTCTTGAAATATTTTTTTTGACAATGAATGTGACACCATTTATCTTCAATTTGTCATTCCCAGCATAGTTGACCATATAATGGTCCAATTAAAAACACCTAAGGTATCTATCTGTACACGTTTCATTTTGTTTTTGATGACTTCCAAATATCCTAGATTCATACTCTGCACCTTCCGCATTTCAATTATTAATGGATGTCTGCAGCTTTTACTTCTCATTTTGAGTTGTACCACCTCAGCAAATGCTGCTAAACATAAGGTTTTCAGTGGCCAGTTATTTAAGAAGTAGATTGTTAGGTCCTTCTTCCTTGCCTATTTCAGTGTGGGACCTTTGCTGTAACCTGTCTACCATGAGTAACCCTGCTGGCATTTGAAATATGAGTGACATAGCTTCCAGAATAACAAAAACAAACAAGTATGAGAAACCGACAGATAAGTGGTGGATTAAAGTACACTAGGAACAATGATGCAACCTTACACTTTAGACAACATTTCAGAATGTACAAAGCATTTCTACACATACTATTCTATTACATCATCAGTCACCTTTTAATTACAGGGAGGGGAGGGAAGAGAAAACTTCTAGATAGGTAAGAGATAAGTATTGATTTGGATGAAGGGAAAGACAATATATCAAATTGAGTGACCAACACAATATAACACTAAGGAAGACACTGAGAGGTGCACAAGAGGTACAGACAAGATAAATACTTTAGTATATACAATACTGCATTATCAGAGATAACAAAGTCTACAGGTAAATAGATGGGTAGACAGGCTGAATGATATGTATGTCTAGGCAAAAGGGAGTATACCCAAGACCATACAAAAGGTTGGCAGATGATATTTCAACATACATATTTATATGTGCTGTAAAAATATCCATATATATACAACTAACGGGGCAAAGTTATGATAACTTCTTAGCCACAGTCAACCACCCTAATGGAGTGAGTTGTTGGACCTGTGCACTCAGGACCATGGTCAAGGGAGACATCAAACTCAACTGGCATAACATACCACACAAAAACACTGTTCTACATTACTTTGGTGAGTAGCGACTAGGGTCTGAAAAGCTTGCAAGTAGCTATCTAGATGCAACAACAGGTCTCTTATCCAGAGCAAAGAAGAATGAAGAAAAACAAGGGTGCGTAGAAACAATTAGAGACTAGTGGACCATGCAAACCTCAGCCTATATGACTATGAGACCAGAAGAACTAGATGGAGCCCAGTTACCAAGTCAACCACTCAGAAAGGTATCAGTGCAAGAGATATTGGATAGAGAAGGAGAACAATGTGGAACAAACTCAAAATCACAAAAAAATACCTTATTAGTCTGATACAGCCTGGTGACACCCCAAGACTATGGCCCTTAGTTACCCTTCAAGCCTAGAATTGAAGTCACTCCCATGGCTTTCATCCAAACAACAGACAAGCATAGATGGTGAACATTTATACTTAGTAGATACACTCCTTAGAATGATCAATCATGGGAGAACAGAAAGGCAGTATTTTCACAGGGAGACAGCTCAAGGGACAGGAATACATAGGAAAGGAGGACACAGGAAAGAGATAACCATAGAGCAGAAGTGGGAAGAGAGCTATTACGCTGTGGATACTGCAGTCAATGTCATGAAAACAAAATGTGTATGAACTCCTATATGGAAAATGAATTTGCTTTGTACACTTTCACCCAAATTATTTTAAAAAAAATAATCAGATATTAATCATCAGAATATTAAGAATGAAAATTTCAGTAAAATTATATATTAATTAACAATAAACATTTAGCAGAAAGATCCATTTTCTACTGGATCAGAAGTAAGAAGTAAGAAACTTACTTTTGTATAACATTTTGCAAGCTTAACATCATACCCAGTTCTCCTTTCATCTTTTCTCTGTTAGCTCGGCATTCTGCCAAGTATCGAAGAGCCTAGAGCAAAAATAGTAATAGATTAATTCCCATGTCCAGACTACTCAAAACTAAAATCATGTGTAACTTACTGCAAAAGGATTTTATTCCATTTTAAGCTACTATTATTTGGAATATATCCATTATTAAATATAATACATCATCTTTGTAAAAAAATATATATATAATAGTAATAAAAAGGAAAGCTAGAGGGAGGAAGGAGAGGGCAAAGAGGAAAAAAACAAAAATCAGTTTTTGTTTTTAGAATCAACAGGTTTTAACATGTTTAGAAACTCTCCTTTAAATGTGAAAATCAGAGCAGTCCTCTAGGGAAATGATCATGTACTTCAAAGAGTAGCTGGATCTACTCTTTGAAGTAAAGGTTCCTAACTTATTTGCAAGCTCAAAATTAGGTTGTCTGCTTATATTTTTACCACTTCACCTCAACAATGTAGGATACAAGGAACTTGATCTCCTTTATTATTTAATTCCAGGGAGAGGTCCCAATCACTATCACTTCCCTGGATGTTTTTTGTACATTAATTAAAACAGTCTTCTGAGGGAACAAAACCCTTATAGAAGAAGCTGAATCTTATCTTAACACAATTCACCTCAAAAACAGCTTCTTTCGTTAAAAAACTAAAGATGAACGAACTGTCTCAAAAACTTTCTAATTTGTGAGTTAAAACTAACATTTCTAGGGTGCTTTTCTCATATTTAATATGCATTTTTTCTACCACTTTCACAAGCTACGTCTTTAAGAATCACATTTAGTTGTTTCCCCTTCACCTCTTACTACTGCTACTATTTACTGACTTTCTCATCACTTCTCATCATTCATACACAACTCTCTGTTTAATATTTCTGTAGATAACACCATACAACTCTGCCATGTCATCAGTCAAATGACCTTCACATTTCCAAAGTGCTTTGTCATTATCCAGAACAGTGCCATCTACAAATCACAAGTTCAAAGAGCTCCCTCTGACTACAACCTCTTATCTTTCTACTTACTCTTCTCAATGATTTCTACTGACATCCACTTCAGTCCCTGAAGGATCAACTACTATGAGAACTCCATTAAAAAATAGAACAGCATATATTAAAGGAAAAAAAAAAAGGAAAAGAAAACCTGCTTTCAGACAATAAGCAAAAGGCAATCTAGAACTGAGTGAAGGGAAACAACAAGGAGAGCCCTAAAGTTGCCCCAGCTTAGTGACTTACAAGGCAGTTTTCAGGCTGCAGCAGAGCGGGGAACTCAAATAGAGCCCAGTAGCCCTGCTGAGCAATACAGACAGAAGGAAAGAGTTAGGGAGGCAGGAGTGGCTTGAATTTGAAGAGAAGAAAAATAAAGAAAAGGAAGTTACACACCACATGAGTTGTCACACATGACAGCCTAGAAAAGTTTCAGAGAGGGTTTTGCCAGAAGACTGTAACTTTCACTAAGGTACCACTCTGGTGGTGTAGTGGTGAAGGCATTTGGCTGCTAACCAAAAGGTCAGTGCTCCAAACCCAATGGGGGTCACTATGAGTCAGAATCAACTCAACAGCAGTGACTTTGTTTTTTTTTAAAGGCACCACAGCCTTATTCTAGTCAATTAAAAAAAAAAAAAAAATCCTAAAATCTGAGTCATTAAACTAACTGCTGACTAGACCACACCACAGTTGAAACTATCAATTCCATAACCTAAATTTACTAAAAGTAGTTTTGGAATCAAGTCAAAAATATTCACTGAGATGTAGCAAAGAAAATTTAAAAGGGAAAAATGTAGGTCTATGGTATACTAGAGATGCTCACATCTATCTGTCCATTCACATTTTTGAGAGACTATCCTCACCTCCTCAGAGTATGCTTTCCCCAGTCCTCAGCTGCTCAGATGGCAGCAACTCTGTCCTTCCTTGGACCCAGCAAATCAGACCAGATTTCCTTTCCTAGCAGTCAAATGACTTAGGCACTACACCACCAGAGCTCCCAGAATCGGAACTAGAAAGTCAAAAATACCAGTGAGAGGTGATGCAGCGGGACCTGTCAGGACATGTTAACTAGGGAGCCCTGGTGACACAACGGTTAAGTGCTCAGCTGTTAAATGAAAGGTTGGCAGTTCAAACCTAGCCAGCAGCTTCATAGGAGAAAGACCTGGTGATCTGCTCTCATAAAGATTACAGCCTAGAAAATTCTACTCTGTCACATGGAATCACTGAGTCAAAATTGACCCAATGACATCAAATAACAGTAAGGCTGTTATCTAAGACCAGCCACATAGGCACTGGTCAGCACAGAAGCAGGAGAGACAGCACAAGCAAAAAGCTGTCAATGCAAAGTCCCAGAGACAAAGATCAGCTCACTCAGTCTCAGTTTGCATTCTCATCACTAGTTTTAGTCCTCCACTTCTCATTCTTAACTTCCAGTACTCCTACCCCTCCCCCCTTAATGTAACAATAGACTTTTTACCCAAACAATTATGAAGACAGGGAAAATAGAATTTAAAAGTTTAAAAAAAAAAAAAGGAAGGAAATGGTTAAGTAAATTCTCTATCAATGCAGTAGAATATTACACAGCTACTAAAAATTAATAAATCTTAAGAAGCAATATAGAAAACATTCATAGCCAAGTCAAATAAAATAGTAAACTGGACTTTTCTGCAGTATTATTTAATAAATCAGGAGTACAGATAAAAAAGGAAGCTTAAGTGGACAGACCCTTAAACAAAATTTTGTTAGTTTGTATGTAATATAGGAAAAAAGGTTAAAGGAAAGGGCCGGTAGTTGATGACATGGGGTACACAGGGAGAAACGAGAAAATGAAGAAAAGGGGGAGCTCCTAAGGAGAAAAGGGAAAATGTCAGTGTTACAAATCTCCTTAAAGATTATAAGGATATTCAAAATATTTAATCAATTTCTCAAATGATCACTTACAAGCCAACCACTTATATCTGTTACTCAATTTCATATTAATTTTTATTGACTGAAGTAAAAACTTAGAATGACCATAAAAAAATGGTCTTACATTAAGTTTTCCAATTTATTCCTTATGTCACTGCTACATATACTGACTCCTGAAATATATCATTTCTTTTTCTCACTGAATTGGAGCAAATTGTGATTGCAATAACAAATGTACTCTCAATTTGGATTATTTAACTTTTTATCTGATCTGATCAAGGTTTAAAGCAATGGCTAAACTAAACCAGACAGCTTAGATTTCACAGATAAACACCAAACTTTACCTCTGTGAAATTTACCAGCTCTCTGAACTTTTTCTTTTCTTTCTCTTACATATTTTTCTCTTTTCCATACTTTTCCTTTTCACTTTATATTAAAACAAGAAGTCAATGTCCATCAACTGATGAATGGATAAAGAAAATGTGGCATATCTATACAATGGAATATAATTTAGCCATAAAAAGGAATGAAGTACTGATATATGCTACAAAACAGACAAACCTTAAAAATGTTAAGTGAAAAAAGCTAATCACAAAACTCCATATATTATATGCTTCCATTTATACAAAATGTCTAGAATTGGCAAATACATAAAGATAGAAAGTAGATTAGTGGTTGCCTAGGGCTAGTGAAGTTGGGGATGGGTTGGGGGTGATTACATAGAAAGAGTACACAAGTTTCTTTTAGGATGATGATGTTCTGAAATCGATTGTGGTAAAGGATGCACAACTCTGGAAACAGTGAATTATATACTTTAGATGAAGTGTATGGTGTGTTACCCCAAAAAAAGTTGTTATAAAAAAACAAGTACCTTTCTGTATCTGTACTGATATGTTACAATCCTCAACTTTTGTTAAGTGAAAAAAAAAAAACAAGTTGTAGAACATTTCATGCGTATAGCACACTACCATTTGTGTAATAAGACATATGTATACATATACACACACATATATACATAGGTATATATAATCTTGTTATACACACAAACATGCTTACACACACACACATATACAAATGAAGGAGACTTACTAGTATTCACTCTATAGCCTCTTTAAAATTTTTACTATGTCATTTAATACTTTCCAAATTCTTCTTAATACAAAAAATGAAAACACTGGGACTGGCATTACTAAGGACAACTTACAAGCAAAGCCGAGTGAATGACAGAGGGGTTAGGATGGTCCATAAATAAAATAAGGCCAGGCAGACATCCTTGATCCTGGACAATGGCTCTTCTGTTTAATGGGTCTGCAGCTAGATCCCGTAGCTGGTTAACTACCGAAAGAGCATCAGGTTCTTCATTCATGGTGGAAGAGGAAGAATTCATCTTCTATGCCATACACTTGAATAAAATCTTCTTAAAATCTGTAGAAATAGTTTGCAAAATTAGTTCTAGGCTGCTGAGGTATATTATGCATTTTTTTTACAAGCAGGAGGCGGCATACGATGTGTCGAGCGTTGACTGGAGTTCAGACGTGTGCTAGGCTGCTGAGGTATATTATGACATTTATTAAATAACCAGGATTACAACATGCTTCAAAGAAACAGATGAATTTAATTCACACAATAACTTAAGAACTGGCAATTCCACAGTTTGAGAAAAGTAAAAAGAACATTAGAAGCTAACTGACGAAATCAAATTAACTATGTGTGCACAATGTTTAAAGAACATATGCCATCCTCAATATTCCAATAAATTCCTCTTTAGCAATACATATTTTAACACTAAAGTCATAATAAACAAGATCTCTACACTTCATGATTCTAACCTTCAGTGTACTTCTCACACTAGCGCTGCCAATGCTTTTATTTCATCAGCCGAACATTTCTGAGCCTAAAACAAATGCCTTGGAGGGAAAATGGCTAGCTGACAACTTCTTTTTTAATCCAGCATACCGGGTCTACAAAAAATACCATCTCCTAGGAAAAAGAACTGTGTCAAAGAAGTCAGTTAACAAAGAAGCCAGGAAGGGGATCTTGCCTCTCCCTTGAGCAGAAAGCGGAGTTTGAGCGATCCCAGTGAACCGAAGCTGAACCTAAGCCCACCAGTGCATTTTTCAGTGTGCAGTAATCTACTGCCTAAGAAAGAAATAAGAACAGGATGAATGTAGAATCTGAGGTTTATACAGCATACCCCTTCATTTGGCAGATAAGAAAACAGTTAGAGAGAAGTTAAATAATTTACCCCAGGTCACAAAAGCGGTTCAGTATGAACTATAGAGAAAACTTCTTTACTGGAGGGCAATGGGTTTGGTTTTGGTTTGGAAACTACACAGTTTTTCTACTTTTCACTCACTCAAAATTCAGCATATCTTTTTCCTATTAAAGTAAACATGACATTTTAGAAACTATAACACACTAAACATACAAAAGTCACAGAAACAGAGTATCGAGGAATGATATTCATATATGCAAAAAGTTAAAAATAATAATTTCAATTAACCAAGTTACAAAGCATATTCTTTTGAGGAAGAATAAAAAGATATCCATACTTGCAATAAATTAATTTTTTTTTTTTGGTTATTGCCTTTTCCCTAATCAACATTTATTAAATGCCAAAGGGGGAAAATACTAATCATAATTGAAGTTTATGTTCTTTGACCTCAGTGAAGAGTCTTAATGAGTAAGTTTAAAGCAATTTCAAGAAAAAAATCTGAATTTGGGGGAACAAAAGAAATTATTATTCTGTAATATTAGTTACATATAATAGAGATTATTAAAGCTATTGGGGGGGGAGCAGAACTGGTCTTAACCATGTTTTGAAATATACAAAGCTATGAAGATTTAGGAGCTCTGGTGGTGTAGTGCCTAAGGCACTTGACTGCTAACCAAGAGGCTAGCAGTTCAAACCCACCAGCCACTCCTCGGAAGGAAGGTTGGGCAATCTACTTCCATAGTGATACCGCCTCAGAAACCCAAGGAAGGGTCGCTATGAGTCGAGGCCAACTCAACGGTACATAGCAACAACAACAACATGAAGATTAAGTGAGGGCAGTGGTAGAATTCTCACCGTCCATGCAGAAGACCTGGGTGTGATTCCCAGCCAATACAACTCAAGTGTAGCTACCACTTGTCTGTCAGCACAGGCTTGCATGTTACTATGATACTCAATAGGTCTAAGAAGGACTAGGAAGAAAGCCCTGGTGACTTCCAAATATTCAGCTAATAAGCTCTATGAATCACAATGGTCTGATCTCATTGGCATGGGGGTCCAACCATAAGTTGGAGTCCAAGTTAATGGAAGCGAACAACCACCACAAAAAGGATTAAAGCAGTTGTACTCACTGGAGTAGCAGGATACAGGTACTTCTCTCAGGAAAGCTATTTTAGGCACTCAATGTAAGAAAGCAGATTCCTGAGTCAGAGCCAGGTTCTAACATTGTGCTTTTAGACAAATTATTTAAATGCTCTTTGCCTTGGTTTCTTCATCAGTAAATTAAGTTTAATTATAATAGCTACCAAATAGTTTACTGTCCAGATTAAATGACAACAGACTAGTGCCTGGCATACAGTAAGTGCTCACTAAATGGTAGTTAAATGAGTCAGAACCAACTCGAGAGTAACTAACAAATTACATGTCAAAAAGCAATAAGAAATAGTAAAGTTATTCAATAAATGGAACGAGAGTGACTTCTTAGCGATTTTAAAACCAATTGCTAAGGACCCTCAACTCATATCATACTGCAAAACATAATCATTCTCTAGATAAAATACATTAATTGTTAAATTATAGAAAAAAAAATTGTAGCAAATGCAAAGTAAGTTTTACTAAAATAGTATTGAAGGAGCCCTGGTGGCACAATAAAGAGCTGTGGTGGTATAGTGCCTAGGGCATTTGACTGTTAACCATAAGGTTGGCTGCACAAACCCACCAGCTGCTCCATGGAAGGAAGATGGGGTAATCTACTTCTGTAAAGATTTACCACCTCAGAAACTAATGGGAGTCACTATGAGTCAGAATCAACTCGATGGCAGTGAGTTTGGTTTCTTTGAGCTTGGTGGCACAATAAGTAGCCCTGGTGGTGCAGTGGTTAATCACTTGGCTACTAAGTGAAAGGTTAGAAATTCGAACCCACCAGCTGCTCCACAGGAGAAGATGTGGCAGTCTGCTTCCATAAAGATTACAGCCTTGGAAACGCTATGGAGCAGTTCTACTCTGTCCTCTAGGGTTCCTATGAGTCAAAAACGACTCAACGGCAACAGGTTTTTGTTTGGTGGCACAATCGGGAGCCCTGTTGGTGCACGGTTAAAGCACTCAGCTGCTAACTGAAAGATTGTTGGTTTAAACTCACCAGTCAAGGGTGAAAGATGTTCCACTCTGCTTCTGTAGATATTTACAGCCTTAGAAACCCTACAGAGCAATTTTATCCTATCCTACAGGGTCACAGTAAGTCAGAATCAACTTGACAACAATAATTGTAATGTGTACATGGTGGTGCAGTGGTGCATGGTTGCTAACCAAAAGGCAGTGGTGCGTGGCTGCTCACCAAAAGGCAGTTCAAACCCACCAATGGCTTTAGAAGAAAAAATAAACAATTTGCTCCCATCAAGACTGTTGTTGTGTTGTTAGGGGCCATCAAGTTGGTTTTGACTCACAGTGACCCTATGAAAAAGAGAATAAAACACTGCCTGGTCCTGTGCCATCATGACAATCACTGCTACCCTTTAGCCCACTGTTGTAGCCACTGTGTCAACAAACCACATTGAGTGGCTTCTTTTTCACTGACCATCTACTTTACCAAGCGTGATGTCCTTCTCCAGGAGTGCTTCCTCCTGATAATACGTACAAAGTATATAATACAAAGTTTCTCCATCCATGCTTCTGAGGAACATGCTGGCTGTACTTCCAAGACAGATTTCATTCTTCTGGTAGTCAATAGTACATTCAATATACTTTATTATAAACACCAAAATTCAGATACATCAATTCTTCTTCAGTCTTCCTTATTCATTGTCCAGGTTTCACATTCACATGAAGCAACTGAAAATACGATAGCTTCAGTCAGGCGCACTTTAGTCCTCAAAGTGACATCTTTGCTTTTTAACACTTTTAAGAAATCTTCTGTAGCCGATTTATCCAATGCAATATATCCTTGGACTTCTTTACTGCTGCTTCCAAGGGTATTGATATGGATCCAAGTAAAAGGAAATCTTTGACAACTTCAATTTTTTTCTCCACTTATCATTATGCTGCTTATTGGTCCTCTAGTGAGGACTTTTGTTTTCTTCGTGTTGAGATATAATCCATACTGCAGGCTGTTATGTAGTCTTTGATCCTCATCTGTAAGCATTTCAAGTTACTTTTCAAGCAAGATTTTGTCATCTGCATATCGCAGGTTATTAATGAGTCTTCCTCCAATCCTGATGGCTAGTAAACTCTATGGGGCAATTCTACTCTGCCCTTTAGAGCCGCTATGTGTTGGAAGTGACTGTATAACACACAACAACAGAATAGTATTTGGCAAGTAATTTTCTCAAAATGAAAATCAGTATTGTAACAAAAAAAAAAAACTCATGGTAAAAGAGAAAGTATGGGAAGAAAGACCCGGTGATCTACTTCGGAAAATTAGCCAACCGAGAACCCTGTGGATCACAACAGTCCGCTCTGCAACTGATCGGGGGATGATGGCAAAGACTGGATAGTGTTCAGTTCCATTATTCATGGGGCTGCCATGAGCTGGGGACAGACCTGAAATCAGCTAATGACAACAATATATGTAAGTTGAGTACAAAGAATATAGAGTGAAAAGTGCCCTTTCCCCCCCTCCCACCCCAAAAGGAAGAAAGTAATAGGCTGAATACAGAGACATAAGATCAAATGGTTTTGGGGCAAACTGCCTCTTAAAACCTTTTGCCATGGAGTTGATTCCAATTCAGAGATCCCACAGGACAAAACTACCCCACAGCGTTTCAAAGGTTATAATCTTTACAGAAGCAGACTGCTACATCTTTCTCCCACAGAGAGGATGGTAAGTTCAAACCTTTCAGTTAGCAGCTGAGTGCTTAATCACTGCACCACCCGGGTTCCTAAATTGCCCCTAATGCCAATACATTGAATGTTCTTGTTTACAAACTAGGTTCCATGAGCTTTATGTGCTGTCATTAGAACAAACCCTACCCAAAATGAACTTAAAAAACCAACTAGCTCAAAGGCCCAAGAGTAGAGAAGTAGTTAAGAACCAAATATTCTGGGTGATGACCTTTTGCACACAATGCTTGCCTTGGAACTGGAGAGCTCCATCCTTATCTAAGGAATCTAACTTAGAGAACGATTCACCCTTGTAATTGCAGTAGAAATGGTTTTGAAAGAGATCTTTCTGATTCTAT